AACCACAACTGTTTCTGAGGAACTACATTGTTTGGTGGAAGAATACTGTTTTTATTAATATCATTACACTTTATTTGCTCTGTTTTATTTTGTGAAAACTTACTACGTATATGGAATAACCGTTTTATAAAAGCAATAATCCCCGTGAAGCTGTGGTTTACAGTGAATTTATAACAGCGACACCCCTTAGCTGTTATAAATTCACTGTAAACCACGGCTTCTTGGGGCTTATATGCTTTATTATATTACAGACAATCATAAACTTTAATCATTTTAAACGTTTGTTTTGTGCCTCTTAAATTACTTTCATCATTTTTAAATGCCGAAATGCACTTTATAATGATTTTTTAAGGGGTAGTGGTATTTATGATTTGTAATTTTATACAAAAAAAACTGCTGTAACCAATATGGATATCTTTATCATCACAGCAAACATTTTAGAACACAGCTTTCAATAAAAAACTTTAATCAAAAGTCTAGAAGCCAAATGAAACATCTTTATGCCACAGAGAGAAAAAAAGATGCATGTATAAACAACCAGAACTTTCTGAAAAATACTGCAAACAGATTCATCCACAATACTACAAAAAGAGCTCAGTGGATAGTTACGAGGAAAATGTTTTAAAATAAAACCTGAAAGAGTTGTCAAAGCTTAATGTTGGTGACGCTGAAATCATGTGACTAGTTTAGTTTGTTTATATCGTCTGTTTAGCGTTTTTGTATTAGGCCTTATGAAAGTTGCATTCACTAGTAAGAATCATAAACTTCTGTTAGTCAGAGCTTATTCTCTGCAATAATCCAAAATGTAATGGACAAATCCTATTGGGTTTTTTTTGTGGCAGGAACCAGAGTGATATGAACTTATGAGTCGGTCTACAAAAATGCATCACTGTAGTGCTCTATGCCAGTTTGAAGATCAGAAAGTTAATAAACTGCTAGTTAACAGGACCTCCAAATGGTTTCCAATATGATTTCTCCAAAGGCAGAGAAATATCATTACCATCACACCTCCTTACAATATACCAAAATCCACTGGAAAGCTGATTAAGTATCTAATCCAGGAAGCATAGAAGCATACATTTCATTTTTCAAAAGTTTCCCTCACTGAAGAATCAGCCTATTATATTCAACAGCCTTTAAAGTCCAGAACTGTAAGGGTTAAAGCATTTCCAACCACCAAAGCCTACAGCCATCACAGCAGATAGCAGCAGACTGAACGCAAATCAAAGCAACTTGTAAAGGCCAATCAAGACAAGAACATCGTGTGTTTTCTTTCCGGTCCTGTTCTGTCTTTTTTCTGCTTCCAAATGGCAAGTCCGAAGTGAAATGAGGTCATGCGGTAAATATTTTGAGTGCATTTATCAAGCGCTGTATAATAGGCTGTGACCCACGCTAAGTGACTCTTTGACTCTTGCCGTCGGTTATTTGAAGTGTCTTTGAGTCAACGTGGAATCCCTCAAATAAATGACACGACGGCTGAAAGGCCACAGACTGTGAGATGAGATGATGTGCAAAAGCCTGCTGCCGACTCCAGCGCTCACGTGACGAGAAACGAGAGAAGAAGAGAAGGAAAAACGTGCGTGTTTGTGTGTTTTGGCCGGCAAATGCGATCTCTGTTTTGCTTGGAAATTACATCACCTTCTTACTATTAAACATATCAGAAGGGCCTCTTTCTGCAGTTCTGATCCTCTCTGGCGGCCGTGATTTCCAAAAGCCAGATACAGTTAACCAGGAGACTGTCACCATCTGCTAATTGGGTGTTCCTCCGTCAACAGAGAACATTTTCTGGAAAGTTGGCAGTTCAAGGGTTTGAGTGCCAATCAGACAGCGACTGGAGGTGCTGCTCCTGGTTAATGGATAGACAGGTCTGGAATGGCAAAAATGCTTTCCAATGATGTCACGCAGTCATTTTTGGATGTGCCGATAAGAAAGCGTAACCTGTTGATGCACTCAGAGCCACTGCTGGGACGCTTGGAATAGCACAATGCGTAAATGATTCCACACGGCGCGAGCGTCCAAAACACAGCGCATGAAAAAGCCATTAGTTTAGCTGATGTGAATGGAACATGAATATACATTACTCCATCCCCGCCACGTTCTCCCAACCCGCGCTTGCTGAAACTGAACACTGCTTAATGGAAAGAAAAGAGATCCTGTCGCCAGTCCGGTGTGGGTGCGCTTGAGTGCTAAAATTCTTTGTCTGTGCTGCGGGATGAAGTCTCCAGCGGGACGTTATCTAAAAATAACACGCTGAGCGTTTGCCATAGTGGTGTGGGGAGATAATCATTTAATATGAAGCTCTTAAAATATACATTTATATGTTGCAATCACATGCTGCCATCTTATTTCCAAAAAATTATAAAGAAGGGTGTTCAAAAAGGACAAATGAAATCAAAATGGGCATGTATAAATCTCTTTACAATCCTAAAAGTTGACTAACTAATGTGCATGTATAAGCTTTCAAAATTCTTCAAGTGTTCCTTTCTGAGAAAAAAAAAAAAGTTGACTCCTTGTCTTGCACTCACAAGCACACGTCATATTTTGTCCAATCAGATGCTCTCTAGAATAAGAAAGCCCCTCCTTCTAATACCACCTGCCACCAACTACCAACAACAAGCAGCAAATCACAAAGAATCACAAAGAAGACTATGCACGTCAAGTGTTACACTCTAGAAATAATAAAGATATTTGAGACAGTTCAGATTAGAAACCTCTGGAGAAACTCTTTCTCTGAGGAACGTTCCAAATGGAACTCATAAGTTCCTGCGAGAACTTGGGTTAGTGGTTCCTCCGGTACGCTCTTAAAAATAAAGGTTCTTCATTGGCATTGATGGTTCCATAACATCCAAGGAATCTTTCCATTTCATAAAAGGTTCTTTATAGTGGAAAAAGGTTGTTCAGATCATTAAAATGCTCTTCACACTAAGAAAAATGGTTCTTTAGGGAAAAGTTTTTTTTGGGGGGGGAACCCCTTTAGAAACCTTTATTTTTATGAGTGTAACAACACCACAAGAGAAGATCTTGAAATATATATAGAAGTTTATTTCATTCAGCAAGTTCTACTACGAAGGGTAAACAGCAGTAAAATGCCGATAGGACCGTCTGGTTCTGATCTCACTGAATCCCATCAGTTCTCCAGAATCTCCGTGCAATCAAGTGTGCTAAACTAGGAAGACATTCCCACAACTGACTGTGTCCTCAAATAATCTGGGGCCCGTCTGGATTTGGACAGGACCCAGAGACACATGGAAAATTGGTGGGGATCGTTTTGCCCTGACCCTCCGATGAATAAACAGACCAGACAAACCATGCGAATGCTTTTCAGATGTCAAGTTTTTCCATTTATGAACAAACTGATTAAAACCTGTTTGGTGAATCTCGTCATGTGAACAGCTGCACTATTATCACCTGCCTGCAGCAATTTATAAGAACTTAAACAGAATTACATTATATAACTCTTGACAAATGGAACTGCTTGTCAATGTTCAGTATTCAAATATTTCTTGGTGAATTTAGTGAAATAAACAAAATGCTCAGAAATTCTTTCAATTGCATTGTTTATATCTTTAGATATCAGCATTGGCCTTTAGAGAACTAGATCCATTTTTTGTTTAGTTTTTGCATTTATATTCGACCACCTGATCTATTTCTATGGTTATTTTAAAGTGTTACTATAAATACTTCTGTCTCAGTTCTGCCCGGTCTCCGGTGTGAGACCTCCTCGTAGTGGACTTACTGTTTTCAGGGGAGCCCTGGATCATGTTGAATTTGTGTATCTCTTTGGCGTAGTATTCGGTCTCGGTGTTGTCCTGGCCGCAGCTCTGATGTCTGTCTCGCCCTAACTCCTCCAGCAGTTCCCTAGTGCTGTTATAGAGGGCCAGCACTTGATAGGGCACCTGACTATGGCCCAGGGTCTGCGGCGGGCTGGTCAGGCGCAGCTTGCTGAGGATCTGACCCCGGATGGCCCATTTATTGTGTACATACATGTTTTTACATTGTACTTATATTTAAAAAAATACATGCATGCAATTACATCTGCAATTAATTTCTGTAGTTACATTTATAATTACACTGTTTACCCATCCCTTATACCTTAACCCACCCATAAACCCATACCACCAGACCTGTCCCTAACCTTGCACCACAATAACAGCAGAAGTGTTTAGCAATTCAACATGAACACAATAAGTATGTAAGTACATAGTAGTTAAGGGTGGGTTAAGGTGTAAGAGATGGGTCAATAGTGTAATTATACATATGTAATTACAAAAATTAATTACAGATGTAATTAAATGCATGCATTTAAAAAAATATATAAGTGCAATGTAAAAACATGTATATGTACACAATTAGTGCATTGTATCAAATGATCAATTTAAATGTAATGACATAGTAGTTAAGGCCACCTAATATAAAGTGGGACCCAATTTTATGTAGGGGGTGAGTTGAGCCAAGTTTTACTTACGGTGTGTTTAAAGTGAGCACATAACAGTAATGGGTCCAACTTAAATATGCACATAAATTTCAGGATGTGGTGCTGTGCATCCTTGGGAATAATCACTTTGGGTCTAAAATAAACTGCTTTCAAAATATGGCCTTCCAAAAAAAGAAAAGAAAAAAAAAAGTGGTTTCTTCAACTCGCTCCGCAGTAAGGGGTAAATTGAGCCGAGTGACAGGGTAAGTTGAAGCTCATGCTATGTCAAAGGAAGAGAAATTAAATAATAAAAAAAAAGACTTATTAAAATCTATGTGTGAGCCTTGACTGGCCATCCATCCAGGGAGCTTCTTCACCTGTGGCTCAAGACGCTGGGTTAGGATCCACATCCCCTCGAACCTAAAAACTTTTCATAAACAAGGCCTGTTTAAAATGTACAGAACAAAATCAAGTTCAAAACAAAGAACAAAATCAAAGTCTAAAATGAATTAAATATAATGCACAACTACAGTAAAATCATACGTTACAATCATAAGAGCAGTTCATCCAGCAGTTTAGAGCAAATATCATGCTAACAGTACAGCATCATATTATAACCTCCCAAAGCACAAATATGCGTGATGTTTTTTCAGATTTGTAATTGTTCAGACACAAGAAGCATGAGTCCTTGAACATAAACAAATCACTCTGAACAGCAAAAAACTGATTTTGAACCTAAATGTAGTTACCAAGTATTGCATGGTCCTTTCTCCGTCATAGGGTGAGTAAAATGGTTAAATCTTCAAATATGTGTTTGTGGTCATATCACCAATTTTGTTTAAGGTTGTGTAGAAACAAGGTGGCTCAGCTTCCCCACAGGCTCACCCCATGTGAATGATAGTCAGTGTCTTCATAATAATCATATCTGTACACTCAGTGGCGTTTCTAGAGAAATGCAATTACATTCATACCTCTTGTAAGATCTGGTGATCTTCATTCAGATCTCACTGTCCGTGACTTACGTCAGTTTGCATGAAATAACTGATGTCAGGTTACAGTGGGAACTTGCATATCAACATTTCTATATATGGCAAGATCCAAGTAGCTTAAATCAACATGTCCTAAACAATATAAGACCCCAGATTACTGGCACGCAACCAACTATCCCTTAAAAAACAAAAATAAACAATACAGCATGAGTGGATGTCAGAGCCCTCGGTGACCGTTACTGTCCCACGGACAAGCACAGAAGTCGCTTTACACCACATTACATTCTCTCAGGGACAGAGAATACGTCTGAACTGTGTTTTTGCTTTCCATTTATATGTGTTTATATTGCTTTAGGCTCCGTATACGACCTCGAGTTTTAGAAAATGTAGTAAAATAAACGTCAGGGGAAATTTTGACCACTTGAAATGTTTAAAAAAGAAAGAAAGAACAAATTCTGACAAAATGTAACCACTGAACACAAAGTAAACGTACAGAAAGGAGGCACAAACAAGATGATTTTGAGCATTATTTCTTATCATTCTAGGTGACAAAATTCCTAAAATCACCCATATTTCATATCTCTCTCGAGCTGTGTCCATACACAGGCGCTGTTTATGTACAGAATTGCTGGAAGGCTGCATGTATCTTAAAAATCATCATTAATACTCTCCATTGTGTCTGTGGATGGATGTTTTCTGTCACCTAAAATCATCAACGTACATATATTAGATCAGTTAAAACTCTTGATTATTGTTATTCTCTTAAAACATGTGGTGATACCGTGGTACAAGGATGGTAATACCACGTCTCTTAAATATATTATGACACTAAATTATTGCCATATTCATATAATATTATATTTATGATAATAAAATGTGCTTTAAAGAATAGTATATTATCATGGCACAGGCCTAAAACAGGGTATAACCACTGATATATATATATATAGAGATATTCTCTAATTCTCTATTATAGATCAGTGGGTATATAACCATGATATCATGTACAAAAATTGAACATTGTACTTTTTGCCGTTTATCAGCCAGTTTTGTACATGTATTTTTTCTTTTATTATAGCCCTTAGAATGACCAACACACATCAAACTCTGGGTAACATTACATAGGCTATGGATCAAATAGGCTACACAAGAAAGCAAGAAAACAAGCAAGCAAGCAAGAAAGAAAATCGTGAACTTCTCGTTTAATTTTTATTTTATACACTTTTTTATTGTTTAATGCTTTGAAAGTTTTTGGCGCGAAAATCGCACATTTGAGTACGACTGATGGAATTTATTTCTCTCTCTTTCAAAAACAAACATACAGAGATACAGTCAAACAGAACACAAACAAAAATGGGGGATACATATAACAAATATACATCATGGAGGGTAAAACATTACATTTTACAAATAACATTTTTTAATATGAGAGACGTTTTTATACATTTCTTGTTTCTAGTCAATGAGTACGACTGACGGAATTTGCCTTTGATGTGACGAGGTTCGGCGGTGGCGTGACGTCACTTCCGGGACGCGGCTCCGTTAGAAATGGACGACAGTCTTCAGTTGGCAGACGGTGGATTTACTAAAAATGTGAGTTGAAAACCTATTAAACTGTTTTCGAGATTCGTGCATCACTGTAAGCAGTCAGACATGTGCAGACACGGAGCAGCTCGCGGAAAGCCTCACGCTTGCATTTGTTTCGCGCTGCGATTGAAACTGCAGTTCAGGAGTGTTGTGTGTGGGCTAAACAACTGATGTCCTGCCGCATCAACTAGTCCTACAGATCACTCAACTATAATAAACAGAAATAACTCGATCTAGTGTTGTTTGTATGCTTCTTTGATCCTCGTCTATCGCTTGTAAACAGAGGTGGCGCGTCATGTTGCCATAGCAACAGTAATGGCGTCTGTGGACCACGCTGAGCATGCATTAATAAATATTCAAATCCACTGACACGATACTAAATATTAATATATTCATTTACATTACATTTAGACATTTAGCAGACGCTTTTATCCAAAGCGACTTACAAATGAGGACAATGGAAGCAATCAAAACCAACAAAAGAGCAATGATACGCAAGTGCTATAACAAGTCTCAGTTAGCTTAACACAGTACACATAGCAAGGGTTTTTAAATCGTATAATAAATAAAAAGTAAACAGATAGAATAGAAAAAGAATAGAGCAAGCTAGTGTTAGAGGCCTTTTTTGCCTTTAATTGTGTAATAAATAAAACAAATAGATAGAATACAAAAAGATTAGAGAAGCAAGAGTTAGTTTTTTTTTAACACCGTCACAACCCTAGTATGAATGTGGTGAATGACAGAATTTGATAACACAACAGCTTTGATGCATGTGTGCTTTACCAGTCTATGCAGTAAGATGTCGCTTATATAGCAGATTATCACATGAGACATGTTTATAATAAATAATAATAAATGTGCTCCATGCGTGAATGAATATTAGGGATGTAGACTAACAATATATTGTGTCACAATATTTTGCAATACAAAATGCAACAATATGTATCATGGATATTTCACCCCAAAATTAAAGTTTAGACATTTAATTTAGGCTTTTATTCACATATATAAACCTTGATTGACACACAAACACAAAGAGCACATTGAATATGGTAAATCCAGAAGCTCACACATTTGAGCTTCCATGTATATTAATTATTAATAAAATACATTATTTAATAAAATATAACATTTATAACTAGTTAAATGTATGTAGTCAGGGATAGAGGGCAAGCATATGTGTCTAACATAATTCTGGCTATTTAGTTAAGCAGAATAATGAATATTTCTATTCTGGTTAATGAACGATACATTTGGTAAATGTTTATCACATGTCTTACAAATAACAATATAAAAAAAAAAACTTACCAATCTGTAAGTTTCTACCCACGGCGCCGTCATTGTGTTTTCGCAAGCGACAATGGTGTACTAGTTGTACTATGTGTACTACGGTGTACTAATGCCATGACGAAAGTTTGAGCAAAACTTTGGCTGCACAGACGAGCACAGAACACTATTTAGATCTAAAATAAACATGCGATTTATTTCCCAGCAGTTTACCTTCACAGACATAACCGACTGTTTTTGTAACTCGTGTGTTTTTAACGTAAACTTGTGTGTGAATGAGAACTTAGTTTAGTAACGTTACTCACATGCTGTGACAGCCGCTTTCTGTCCGTGTGCTTCGGTTGTGTGCGCTCAGAAAACCTTATATCTGAAGTTTAAACTCATATGGTTTAAACCGCATGATTTCAGCACGATAAACATGATAATCAGAACCATAACAGATGTTTTTAGCAGATACGAGCTGTAATGGCGCAGCTCTATTCTGGAAAAGGGGGCGGGGAGCAGCAGCTAATTTGCATTTAAAGAGACAGGCCTGAAAAATTATCTGTGGGGTATTTTGAGCGGAAACTTCACAGACACATTCTGGGGACACCAGAGACTTATATTACATATTGTAAAAAGGGGCATAATATGTCTCCTTTAAACTTTTTTTGTTTAGAGTATTGTGAGAGTATCGTATTGTGAGATCAGTGTATAAAAGCGAATCATG